TACACACGTACACACAAAGATTCTTAGCCATCCTTCGTCTCTGAAAAAACAGGTGCAGATGAAAGAATGTTGTCTCCAGAATGTCATTGATATCGACTGCCATTTACTCCTGAACTCCTCATTTCATTGATCTGAAAACCACCTCAGAGCTGAAGGGTGGGGGTGGGGTATCCTGCACCTGAAGAGAAATGAAATGAAATAGTTCATCTTTTATTGTTTCTTCAAGTTCAAATAAGTCAGCCTTTCTCAATTTGCTGGTTTTTGGAATGGATGAATCTCAGCTTTCCATATTATCTAGCCATAATGTGTCTATAACTATGTACAAAGATCAACATCATGCAACCCATGGTATTTCCTGTGATACTCTATGGAAGTGAATGTTGGACTTTATATAATAAGGATAGCAAAGGAATTGATACTTTTGAACTTAGATGTTGAAAAAGACTTCTAAGAATATAGTGGATAGAGAGTCAAGAAAACAAACTGATGGATCATTGAAAAAAAATACTATGAAGAAGGATACATTTCTCTGTGCATGTGTGTTTGTGTACATGTATGTATATATAAATACATACAGTACATACTATATACATATACATACATGCAGTGGAACCTCAGTACATAACATTAATTGGTTCCTGGAGGCATGATGAGTACCAAAAATGAGTAACAAACAAACTTTTCCCATAAATGTAGTGAGTCACAAGGCAGCCGACACTGACAAATTCTAGCTTGTGTGTTAAGTACCAAACAAATGATGAGAACTGGGACAAAATTTTCACATCAGATACACTGTCAAATTCGATGAATTTTGAAGTGGTTTAGTACTAAGGTACCATTGAATGTATGTATGTATAAACATATGTATGAATAACTTTAATTATAATTCAATGCTATACATTTTCACCTGGAATATATTCCCTAAAATATTGCAATAATAATTTTGTTCTACATTTTTATATTTGTTTTCTGTACAAGTAAAGTCCATGCTTTATTTTATTCATTATATACTAATTATCATCCAGTACCACTTCTCTGAAACCTCACCAAAAAGCCTCTAGAAGGCTGTTTGAAATTAATACCTGAAATTCAGCATTGAAGCCATGTGACATGAGCTCTGTCTTCTATATTCAGATGACACTTGCCCATAATGCCATATGGATTTAGTTTACCATATATATTCCATATGTGTTAGCATATTTAATTATGGTTTTCCTGATATGAATTATTGATTGTTCATAGTATCACCTGAAATTGCTTCATTTTTACCTAGAGAGCTTTGGCATCCACTATACAAGTTTAAAGGCTATAACCAAGCAAGGAATACAAGAAATATATTAGGAAATGCTGCTGCTCACTTTAAAAATGCACACATTGTTTAGAGAGCACTCTTGTGATAACCTGAGGCACTGCAAGGCTGATGAAGAATCTAGAGGTAAATACTTTAGAAACTGAAGTGTAAAAAATAAACTATTAGGCATTTAAGCCAAAACGAATCTATTTATTTATTTGTATTTAAAAAAAACCTGAATGTTTAATAAGGTTATAGGCCTTTTGTTGTGGAGATTTGACCTCTTTAGTTAACACTGAAATGAAGCACTAGGAAAATCTGACATTCTGCATAAACACAAAAAGTTCTAATTATAATTCTACAAAATATCAGTGTAAATCATCAATGATTGCAGTAAAATGTTATTCTATTCTACGTCATCATATCCTCCCTGCCAATAGATTCAGGTGTTAAAATTATTTTAGCCTAATACCATCTAATCTTAAATATTTCTTACTAAAGTCTTAAAGCATTTATTGTCTTAGACTACCTTTTGATTCGTTGCAATTAAAAGGCTTGATTCCCATCTGTTCTCTGGTCTTCTACCTAATTATTGCAACAGTAAATACCAGCAAGATATTTTATTTCTCTTTCATAAACTTTCAGAGAGCTTTCGGCAGTAGGAAAGTCATATTGGAAAGGAATTTTTTTTAAAAAAACTACACTGGTTCTCCTTACTAGCTTTCTGTGTAAATGCACTAATGAATTGCATTTTTGTCCCGCAATCCTTAGAATCTTGTGACAGAAACCAGACGTCTGCAATATGGCCATTGCTCTGTGTTGCTTTGGATGGATTTCTTCATACCTACTGAAGCTGAGTAAAGGTCTCCCGTATTTCCATCTAGCTGTGAGAGGTAAAGATCTGAGGCTCAAACTCCATTTTACAAAATCATTTTTAAGCCTTCTTTTCTGTGTCTTTTTTGTTTTAACCATAGCTGTGGAAGCAGTCTCTGACTAAGCAAAAAAATAAATATATACAGTGGTTTAATTCTTTCTTCATTTATACCATTGTCTAATTCTATAGATGGATAAAAATGTGGCTTATTTATATAGAGATAGTCCTTGTCTTATGACTAATCACTGACTGTCTCAAGTTATGACAGTCCCCCCCAAAAGGGACATGACCCAGATTTGAAGTTCTTCCCTTAGTCACATGATTGCATTTTGGGTCCTCGCAAGCAGCGTGCATTTAAAGCCATTCACAGTGCTCCCACAGTCACTTTGTTGCAATTTATGTCATTTTTTTGCTGGAAACAAACAATTTCTTCCATTTTTGTAAAAAAAAAATATCCATAGTGAACAATGGGTTTGCCTAATATTATGGTGTTCATTTTATGACTGCTGCAAAAAGGTAACAAAATTGGATGCGGCCATAAGTTGACCTATTTAACACCCATAACAACTAGTAAGTACTTGGATATGGTACTATCAAGAAATATCTGGGCTGTAATCTGGAAATGCCATGAAAGTAAACAGAAATTAAATATTGACAAGAAAACTACATGAACATGGGATCATTAGGAGTTGAAATGAAGGTGAAGGAAAGTTGACTTTGTATCCTTCTTACATACAGAAAAGCAGCTCAAGGAAGCAATTCAGTATTGGAAAACTGCAGAAAGGTATAAAGTTAAAGAAGTTTGTCCTTCCTCTTCTTATACATAGCCTACTCCAGACTGCATTGGATTTAAACCAATTAATGAAATATACTATAATATAGGAAGAATATACCAACCTTTATTTTGTTTATCTTCAAACTTGGCCCTTGATTTTTATTTTTTAGCAACGAAGGCAAGCTTTACAAGACTGTAGATGATTTTTTTAAAAATCTGAAAGACAGAGATTCGAATACTTATCTCTGATAGGTTCTAGTATTCCTGAGATATTCCAGAAATGCAAATGTTGCAGTCTGTCTAGCTCTCCTATGCCTCAATCCACCATTTGTTGAAAGGTAACAGTGTTACACCTGTTTAGTAGAAAATGCCATCCTCTTTGGTAGGGGTTCATACATTTAATAATACAATTCTTAATGAGACAGTGATTATAAGTGTATCTTACCCAATAGAAGAGAGCCTTATGCACATCTATTTTAGCTGCCAAATAAAACTAATCTGATATTATCTATTACTGGCATTGTCAAAAGATAAGCTTCATTAGTTGAAATGTTGACACTCATTTTTTCCATGACTTGGAAGAGTGAAAAATGAACATTTTTCAAATATGGTCATGCCAGTCTGGGTGCATCACAATTTTGCATAACTTAACAAAAAGATATAGCGATACCTTGGTACTTAACAGCTTCGAAACTCAGCAAATTTGGTACTCAATGCATTTTGACATGGAAAATTTACCCTGGTAGTCATCATTTGTTTGGTACTCAACACACAAGCTAGAGCTTGTTAGTATTGGCCGCCTTGTGATTCACTATAATATTTCTTAAGGGAAATATTTGTTTGGTACTCATAATTTTTGGTACTCATCACATCTCCCAGAACCTCCCTAACAATAAGTATTGAGGAACCACTGTAATTTATTACTGCCATGTAAGAGAGGAGGGTTTATTCCTATCATAGACCAGCATGACACTCCACATGTAAAACAAAGGAATTCTTACAAAGGTCTTCCTTGCAATATCAGGAACTATTCTTCATTCTGATATGCATCCCATTATGTTTTCCCCCAAACACAAGGGACAGAAAAGAATTATCCAAGACTTGAGTTGCCAATATGTTCTTCCCTTTGTGCTAGTAGGTGCTTGGGTGGGTTTAGGTGTACACCATGTGTACATAACAATGCAAGTTTAAAAGATATCCCACTCTCTCCTGATCCCCTGTTGTTCCTTCATGGGAAGGTGTGAAAGCAGAAAAAACAGGAGTCATGGCCCCATTGGAATCAGCTTCAAAGTCGTCATGTACGTTTATGTATGTATCTGTGTTAACAGAGAAAGTTTTGTTTTTGGATGAATAAAAAGGAACAAAAATGAGAGAGTAACTGTAGTTCTTTTTTTTTTTTTAATCATGGATTTTGCTTGCCCTTCCTTTGCAGATTGTTGTTTGAATTTGGCTACAATCAATGCCTTTAAATTGACTGTTTCTTATTATCTTGGAAGTTCATTCTCTTCTATACTATACTATACTAATATATGCATGTATGTATGTACATATGTACATGTATTTTAGCTGCCAAATAAACCTGGGGAATCTGATATTATTTATTACTGGCATTATCAATAGGTAGGCTTCATTAGTTGAAGTGTTGACACTCATGTTTTTCCATACACACACAGGCACACAAAGGCACTCTGTGCGTGTGTGTATGTATGTATGTATAAACACACTACATATAGACAGATGAGTATGTACGTTTGTGTATGCATCTGTGTCTCTGTCTCTGTCTCTCTCTCTCACACACACACACACTCTTCCCCCCCTCCCATGCGCCGTCCCCCCCTCCCCGGTTTTCCTCTGCTACAGCACCACCAGCACCAGCCACCAGGACAAGTTGCTACGGAAACGGCTGCATGGCAACCGGCTCTGAGCCTGGGGTCCGTCTGCTGCTACTGCTACTGCTGCTGCTGCTACTGCCGCCGCCGCTGCCGCCGCCGCTTCTCTGGCTGGCTCATTCTCCCGCGCGCTTCCTTCCTCGCTAGATGGTGTGCGAGACACCCGAGACTAGACACGCTCCGGACGCGGCCAACGAGAAGCCGAGCGAGCGAGAGAAAGCCAAGAGGCGGCAGCGGGAGCAAGAGAGCCGGAGAGGCGAAGGGAGGACGCGCGGTTTGTGCCAGGACAGAGGAAGGCGGCTGCTTTCTGCCTTCGCGCCCGCCCGCCTGCCTGTTTCGCCCGGGGGGTCGACGCGGAACTAGAGCCGCGAGCCGGAGCGCAGCCTTCGAGAGGGCATGGACGTGATGCTCCTGGTCCAGGGCGCTTGTTGCTCCAACCAGTGGCTGGCCGCGGTGCTGCTCAGCCTCTGCTGCTTGTTGCCCTCCTGTCTCCCCGCCGGTCAAAGTGTAGACTTCCCCGGGACGGCTGTGGAGAATCTGGTGGTCCGGAAAGGGGACACGGCGGTGCTGAGGTAGGACTCGACTCAGCCTCCTATCCGAGCTTGGCCGGGTTGTGTGTTTGGCGCGCTCTGCTTGCCCCCCCCCCTCCGTGTCGGTGTTGGCGTTGCCTTGAAGCTCCACATGCACTGGCGCAGCTCATCTTTTCCCCCTCCCGGGGGGGGGGGGGTGCCGCCCGACAACGCCGAAGGCCGCTCGAGACTGTCCGAGAACGCCGAAGCCCGTCCCCAAGCTGCCGGGGGGGGGGGAGCGGAGACTCTTTCTCTGCCTCCCAAATCTGCCGCACTCAAATGGACCAAGAGCGTTTGGAGCCGGAGCTTTTGGCCGGCGATAGTAAAAGGAGAGGAAGGGGCTTTCTTCCACTTTGAAACTAGACACCCCCCCCCCGTCGTAAGGGGGTGGACAGTAGCTCTCCCTGCCGCCCCATCCGTGAAGCCCCCTTCCTGCCTGTTCTCTTATCCCGAGGGGTGAAAAGCCCCCACATCTTCTCTTTTGATGCCCCCCCCCTTTTCCAATGTACTTTCAACTCAACTTTGGAAGCATCTCCTTGTTGTGCTCGGTGGACTCCCTGCTCTCCCCCCCTCCCCCTCTGAGCAGACAGAGAGGGAGAGATGCTACGCAGTCAGCTCTTTCCCTGGAATGAGTTTGCAGCTTCTTCCTAAAGGCATGTTTCTCACACCCCTGTGAAAGCCAGTAAAGGCTCGTGGGAGCGCAGATATACACCCCCCCTTCCACTCCCCCCCCCTTGCCATTTGTAGCATGGCAAGCAAAGAGGCTGCAGTGCAGTGCCAGCCTTTTGTGTAACCTTTCTTCTCTGGGGAAGGAAATGCTAGGCTGGTACCAGGAGTTCCGATCTGTGTGTGATGCTAAAGACCACCCTGTCCTCCAGAACTGCCTTCCACCCGCCACCCCCACCCTGGGCTGAATGTCCCAACCGGATCTTTGCTGCATTAACACACAGCTAGTGCAGCAGGATCATGCATCCAGGCATGACGGCTTGGGAAGTGTATATTTGAAGAGATTTGATTTCGGGATGGATCCATAATAAGGGGTTAACCAGTGCAGAACACACTGGATTAGCTACTGCTGTTTTTTTCCGGGAGCAGCTGTATGTGCTACATAATTGTATAACTGGGCTGTTCCAACAAGCCCTGAACGGAGTTGCAGAATAGAGGAAACCCTGTTTTAGATATTTCCCGGGGAAGATGATTTAAGAACTTGGATTGCCACTTGTCTTAAGAAATGCAGAATCCCTGGTACTCAATTATCGGATGCTTTGAAACTATAGAAAATAGTAGTTACTTGTTGCAACAGAATCTGACGGGTACATATATTATTATTATTTTACTTAAGCAGCCGATACATGGAAATGTTCTGATTTCCTTCTTCGAATGCCAAGTTTGTTGATGGAAGTTGGAATAGAAATGACTGACGTTCAAATTACTTTCTGTGGGAGACTGCCTGATACTTGTATGTAACAGGATCTGCAGTGCAACCTTCCTGTGCCTGTGTAGAGTATTGCTCAGCAGTAACACTTCCTTGAGTGTACAGAGAAGCATGCATGTGGCTTAACATCCTTGGCATATAGCCAAACACTTTTCACTGAGAAAAAAAAAATCAGGCTAGACGATTATGTGAATTCGCTTTTTGTTTAAATACCTTCGGAAGTCTGCCTCTATTGAGAAATTGATTTCTTTTGAAGGAGCCTTTGAATTATACATGGTAACAGAATATTATTTACCAATAGTAGCTCAATTTTGTGTGTGTGTGTGTGTGTGTGTGTGTGTGTGTGTGTGTGTTAAAAAAACCTGTTTTAAGTTCCGTAAACCTTCAGGCTAATGTCACTGAGCTACCCACCCACCCATTTTTTTCAGTTTAAGTTTTAGTTGACATATTTCACATGTTTCTAAACTAGCCCTCCATGGGTGGGGGAATACCCAGGTTTTCTTATTATTTACGATATTAATAATATCAAGTGGGGAAAATGTTGTTTGTATCTTAAACATTCAGAGGTTGCCCTCTGCAGTAGTTTGAGCAGAAATAGTGTTGCTTGCATTGGGTGAAGCAGATACATAAAGTAACTTGATCAAATGCATCACTTTTGGCATAGAATGCCAATCCTTTCTTACTCCCCATCACCAACAAAAGGTAGATGAACATAGATGGCATCTTTTCATTGTTTCAAATTCTGAAATTCTCAGCCCATCCCTATTTATTTTCTGGCTGAGGCTGAGAACACATTCAGCGTCTATGCACTGCTGGCTGATACATTTTTCATCTGTGGTAATATGCTGTAGTTACACTCCATGGTTTTGGAATACATTGGAATGTACTGTTCTTGGGTTCTTCTGCTACAGACAGAAAGTAAATGCAATCTTAGTCTCTTTATTTACAGTACCTCCAATGTAAAGACAGCCATGGATCAGAGTTGATGAGATGAGTTTTCTATTGAGGTTAGAACTCCGAAAAGTGCTAAGTGAAAAGCCTTAAAAAGCCTTTCAATCCACTTCCATCCTCAAGAAATTTACATTTAAACTAAGTCACTCATCATGCCTTTGGATTGCTAGATTATGCTTCTACCACAAAAACATATGTATTCCTTTAGGCCTGGTTATAAAGCTAAATACATTATATAAATGCAGTTGGCATTTTAGGGTCAAGCAATCATTTTCATCTCATACTTTGGAGAGCATGAGTAACAGCTTTTGAAAGAAAAGATAACAGTGAGAATAGGATCCACTACACAATTTTCATTTAAAAAAACCACCCCAAGCAACTGAGTATAAATAGAAAAGGCAATATTTAAGCTATTAGAAAGCTTGGATGTTTCTTAAGAAATTGAATGTTTTGGATATTTTTATTTTCTTTTGCATTCCTTGTGTTGACTTATGTGAGATCAATGTTTGTGACAAAACTGGTTAAGTTACCTATTAGATACAGACTTACCAATCATTGTCTGTAATTATACTAGGCTGGGACAATTTAAATTTTAAAAAATCCTTCAAAACTTCAAATTTATATTAACAACAACCTAAACAATAACTTGCAAATATGAAGAGGGAAGAAGGATATGGATAACTATAACTGTTTTTGTAGATTTTGTAGATTTGTTAATTTAGTCATAGAACATATTTTATAGAACATATTTTATTTCAATTGTTCCATACTGAAACATTATTTTTTAGATTAAACATATTTGGCTTGAAAAAGGAAAGATAACAAGCATAAAGGTATATGTTGTCCATTCTTTGCAATATTGAGGTTCTCTATATTAAAAAGAACTGAATACATAGCATGCATTTATATACAGTTTGTTTATTTTCTGTTCAGGATCAAATTGTAGTAAATGGAAAGAGATGTTGTGCATATTCAGCCAATTCGGATACTTCTAATTGCAAACCTGCATGTCTGCTGGTGGCAAGTGGTTAGGATCTTTTTGAAAATGCTGACTCTCTGAGTCATTCTTCTGATGTTTTGAGTCAGCAGTTTGGTTGTTTAATAAAAATATAGTTATGTTAAAGAGATACAATATACTGGTGCTTTTAATTATTTTATTATCTAATAGCAGAACTCTTACAGAACTTTTAGGTATGTCATATTGACATTTACATAAATGTCTTTGTACAATGGTGACAACAGAATTATGCAAGTGGAGAAGCTAATCTAACAAACTTTGCAGATATGCATTGGCAGTAAGTTGTTTTCTAGAAAGTAGTGTTTAAAATAGGTAACTATTAGTGGAATGTTGTGCCAAACTTGAATTCACTATATTGCCTTGACTGTATGATTTCTCAAATGCCCCAAGAAGAATAAAATTTGGTGACATGGCATTTTATGTTAGACTGGAGTCTTATTTTATTTTAGTGGGTTAAGCTGCTTCCTACTTTGTCATTAAGGCCACAACCCAGTGAATAGGAAGTCCTACTGAACAGAGTGCAATGTGTTTCTGAGCAAACATACCAAAAATCACATAGATTTGTTTTTATAGGGCTGAATAGCAATCCAACCCTTAGTAGAACTGAATAGAATTGAAATAGGTTCTAATTTACAAAGAAAGGAGTTGAGTAACCATAGATTTTCAGCACAGCTTACTGTTTTTAGGCAGCATTCCTCATTCTGATGAAGTTTGGCTACAGGCCTCCATGCTGAGGATTTGAAAAATTATAATGGCAACCCATTCAGAGGCACCAAGGGGGAAAATGGTTATAATTCTATAAGTGAGGCAACATGGTGGACTAGAAAATTTGTTCATTAACATTCTTATTGGCTGCAAGCTTTACTGGAGACCTGAACTGAATAACATTCAAGAAAGTAAGAAGAGCCGTGGTGGCGCAGTGGCTGGAACGTAGTACTGCAGGTTAACTTACTGCTCACTTCAGGGGTTTGATTCTGACTGGCTCTAGGCTGACTCAGCCTTCCATCCTTCCAAGATCACTAAAATGAGAACCCAGATTGTTGGGGGCAATAGGCTGACTCTGAAAAAAAATCCTTAGAGAGGGCTGTAAACCACTGTGAAGGACTATATAAGTCCATGTCAGTGTTCCAAGTTATTCCTATTTTGTTGTAGGCTGATGAAATGTCAAAATTCTTTAAAAAAAAACCTGGTATAGTAGTAAAAATGTAATCAAGCATGTGATGCACACATTACTACTTATATACTAATTAAATTTATAGTGGGTTCATGTGTTTTGCTTTCAACATTTTGATCTAGCTTTTCTTTTAAAAGAAACAATTAAAAGAGAGCCAGTTGGGTGTAGTGGTTAATGTGCTTCTGGTTTTAATGTGAAAACTAGAAGCCTTTGAGTTCTAGTCCCACTTTAGCCATGATAGCCATTTGGATACTTTGGGCCAAACAATATTTCTCAGTTCAACCCACCTCACAGAGTTGTTGTTGGAAAACGAGGATGAGGAGTATTTTGCATATTTGCCAACTACTTATAAAGTAATCAAAGCAGGATAAAAATTAATTAAATGGATAAAGTTGTAATGTGTTTGTTCATATGTAATAATAAAG